TAGCGACGAAGGAGTGACTCGTCTCCCCCCCCCGGGGGCAGTGAGGGGGATAGGAGTCACACACACACACAGGGAACAGGGAAGGGGATATGAGTCACCCCCACCCCCACGGGGCACAGCGCCCAGGGCGGGGGAACACCCCCAGGGACCGGCCCAGCCAGAGGCAGGCTCGGCCCAGGCCCGCTCCCCGCTCGGCCCGGGCTCTCACTCACTGGCTGGCCGCCGCCGGGATCAGGGCAGCCCGGGTCCTGGGGAGTCTCGGCGAGGAGCCGCCGCCGCCTCGGGGCGAGGGGAGGCCAAGCTAATCCCAGCTCACAGCAGGCGCTTCCCGGCTCGGCTCGGCCCGTCCCCGCAGCCTCTTCGCGACTCGTCGGGCTCCCGGCGGGGGCTCGGTGACCGCGTCCACTGGGGCGCCGGCCGGGCCTCGTCCCCTCACACAGTCGTTCACCCTGAACCCAGGACCGATGTAAAGGGGGGGGAGGGGGCAGTTTTTTGTTCGAGGAAAGCCATTTGCGCAGGCGCCGCGGCCGCGGCGCCTGCCGGGTGTTGCGGTTCGGCGGCCCCGTCCGTTCACGCGCTGGGCAGTGGCAGGCTGGGAGGCGGGCGGACTACAACTCCCAGCGTGCCCCGCGCTGGCGAGCCGCTGCCGCGGCGTGCGGCGGCGCAAGGGAAGGGAGCGAGAGAGCAACGCTGGCCTCTCAGGCGGGCGGCGGGGGGGAACATGGCTGTGCGGCCAGCCTCGGCGCTTGGGGGAGCTGCGGCCTCCGGGCCCCGCCGGCGCCGGGGGGGCTCCTGCGCGAGGGCGTGTCCCTCAGGAAAGGCGGGGGAGACGTTAAACGGCCCTGCACGGCCACCCCCACCGCCGTCCTGGAGCCTGGGATCCGCTGCGGGAAAACCAGCCCGGGAGCAGGAGGCTGGGCAGGGCTAGGCCTCAGAGCAGGCCGTGCCTGCCCTCCATTTCCTCAGGCCTCCCACTGGACCTGCTCTTGGCGGGTGAAAAACAATCCAACGGGGCTGGTGCTCAGCTGGAGTCCAGTCCCCCCTTCCCACACATCCCTCAAACACACACACCCCTCAAACAAACACCCCCCCACACACACACCCCTCA